AATGATTAGGTCAGAATATTTCCTGCAAAGAAAGCGCCACACAACACACATACACCCTCGATAGTTCACCCTTCTTTGTGTGGATGCCATGGACCTTAGAAACATTTTAGAGCGGCTTTATGTTTATGCAATCAGAATTCCCCGAATATTTTCCTTTTCAAGACGCAGAAAACATATATTCTGGTCTGAATTCTCCTTTTTCATACCGAGTACATAATAGAAGCTTCGACACAGATTGGCTCAGTCGGAAGTCCACTGACGCGGCGCCCAGTGTCCCAAGATATTCACACAAAAGAGGTATTGATTGTAATGAGATTGCAAACAAACACACATGGGTAATAAGAGCATGTGTGGAGCACTCGACAGTCAGCCTGACCTGTGTGCATGAACTACACGTGACTGAGGGCAGCAGCAACTCCCATGCGGGCTACACACGCACGTACGCACGCACGCACGCATACACATACATACACACACACGCACGCACGCACGCACGCACATACATACATACACACATACATACATACATACATACATACATACATACATACATGCACACAACCATAGATTCACACATACACGCACATACATACATACACACAAACATACATACACACATACACACACATAATATATACATACACACATACATACACACATACATGCATACATACATACACACATACATACACACATACAGCCATACCTACCTACCTACCTGCATACACACAAACATACATTCACACATACACACACACAATATATACATACATACATGCATACACACAAACATACATTCACACATACACACACATACATACATACATACATACATACATACATACATACATACATACATACATACATACATACATACATACACAAACATACATACACACATACACACACATACTATATACATACACACATACATACACACATACATACACAAATACATACACACATACATACACACATACAGCCATACCTACCTACCTACCTACCTACCTACCTACCAACCTACCTACCTACCTACCTACCTACATACCTACATACCTACATACATACATGCATGCATGCACACATACATACATACATACATACATACATACATACATACATACATACATACATACATACATACATACATACATACATACATACATGATCGCAACTGTAGCGCCATAGCCATTTACAGGCGAGACGAGGGAACAGTAAATATTTTGTAACAATTCAAAATAGGCTATGTGAGAATGTCGATTGTAGATCTCACCCTGATATGAACTACGTTAAAATGTGTACGTTAAATGTTATACAAAGTGCGCGTGTCCGTTCACATTCACAATAATATTACACACACCCAGACACCAATCTTACGTTAAACACAATGACAATTGTGGTTTGATCAAAGTATGTCGTGTTGGCATTTGGAACGCGCCATTATGTGCAGTATGGGCGAGTTATGACTAGTTTTGAAACTAGTCAAAATGGTAGATCTTTAGAACTTGTTCACAAATCTTGACACCGTCCGAGTCACAATAAAGGTAAGGTTCATTGCATGTGACAAGAAGGTTTGTCCTGAATATAAACTCTGTGCATATGATAATTCTGGTATTTGTCTATTCTACTATACTGATGCATTACTATACTCGTTATTATTATCAGCAATTATTTCTTTAGAACGTCAGCACATTTGCATATTAGCAGGACAGTTCTGACTGTTTATGCACATGTGTTGCTCATTGTAGTTACACAAAGCAGAGTACTATCAAAACATGTAAACAATTGTGACAACTTGAAATTCAATTACATTGTACAACAGCCACACATTAGTGAATATTAACAGAAAGGCATTCACAAACATCTGTCCACTGCTACAGGCAGAGAGGCCAGCGCAGTTTATATCATCCAGGACAGATTCTAATAAATAAGAATAACAACATTTCAACAACATTTCAAGATACAATGATCTAGCTAACTTATGATGTGATCCACATTCATAGATTCTAGTCGATGGTTCCTTACGTCATTGTCATTGCTTCTCATCCCCAAAAAGGTCATCAAGGTATCTATATGTGTCAGGTGGGTGTCTTATACATCAGATGATTTTGGTTTCTTACTGGTGTTGTTGGTGAAATCACAGCTGAAATGAAAAGTGACATTTTGCCAGGGTTTCCAGGAATCGGTTGATTTCGACTACACAATGCCATTTTGAAAATGGTCAAATGTAACAAAGGTTATATTTGGAATAACACTTTATTAGTAAAGTACAGATTCTCGTACTTTTTTGCGATTGAGTGGAAGCCTCGGTGGCTGAGTGGCTTATGTGGCTGACTTTGTGTACTGGCGATTAGGTGCCTCACTCTGCCAGTGTGGGTTCGAATCCCGAACGGGACTCAACCCAAAACAGTACGAGAGTCTTATCCCAAATATATCATTTGTTACAATCGGTTAATTTGTTATTTAGTGAAATTTAACATAGGGATGGGTTTTCAATTATATAAACGTGAATACGTAAGAATAACCAGTCTCGATTATATTGGGCTTAAGAGGCTAAATAGGAGACAAAATAATAGGAATAATAGGTTCACTAAACATCAGTTGTGACAGTAGATGTTCCCGCAAAAGGTGAACACGCCCTGCCCTGCCGGTGACATTCAGCCACTTACACATTTTTGCAGAATAAATATGTGTCTGTTACTAGAAATCAACATATACATGTCTGGTTATTACTCATCGTTTGCTCCATGACCTCAGAGTAGCCGGACACACGGTAACTTAAACTTCCAGGATGTATTTATCGCTTTTGAAAATGTAACAGATAAGTTACTTCGGACTTCTGTATAAATATTATACTTCTGTTTGATATAATAATACCTCCACAAACGCCTTCAAAGTTATACATTGAAAACTTGAATATATATATCTTTTTTTACAGATACCCCAATACATGGGCATTTACCCCCCCCCCCCCAAAAAAAAAGAAGCCCCCAAACTTCTGTTTTGAAAATTATCACTTGGTCACATGCACGAGAGAAATGATTCCCCTGTCGATGTATTCAAACATTTGCTGCATTGCCCGAGACAAGGAAACTCGAATCATTTTGATTGTTTGTTGTTTAACGCCACACGTAATATTCCCGCTTGATGGCCGCGGTCTGCAAATAATCGAGTCTGGACAAGACAATCCAGTGATTGACATCATGAAAACTCGAATCGTATGCATGATAAGGATATTAGAAGATTGATGATCAGCTCTGAGAAGAAACACTTTTCTCGTTGGGCGCTATAGTCGTTGTCTCACTTATTGCGGTTCCAGTTTTAACAGATTTTCTCTGAATCACACCGTGAACTCGATCCTCCATATGTGCCAATGTTCTCTGCAAAAAAACAGGGCAGTTAATATTTAATGGCACATTCAAAAACATATTGTTCATGAAATATATTTCAGCTAACTATTAACACTACGTCGAGTTTAAGGTGGTATGCTCATTGTTTTGTGTGAGGAAATTGTTCAGTTATTTCACTGGTCGTTTGTAAATAGAACCAAACAACTCGGATGAAGTAAACACTAGCTCCGGTCTGATATGTTCAAAGTAGACAAAATAGAAGTAAAACAGGATAGATCATTCCATATATTAAATTGAAACCAACTTAAAAAGATAAATACTTTTACTTTTAATTGCTTTCATCTAAAACGGGCAGTTGGTGGTTTCATTTGATGGAGAATATAGAATACCATATTTGGGGCACGATCATATTCCCCCTTCATGAACATTTTCTGAATGAAATGTAGTGGGGGAAAAAACATATGAATATAATATATACCTCATGACTGTGGATTACCAGCGACCTGTGACCTGCGCGTTCGGCAATGACTTGTTCGTTCAAGAATCGTATGTCCTAGGTCCTGCAGTTGCTCGCTGCGAATGGTGACTGGAGAATTATTCGAATTATTGCAAAGTCTCAAAGTCTTCAGACAAGTGACTAGTAACAGATTCCTCTGCTTCCTGAGATTCCTCCCAGAGAACTGATAATCACAATTCAACAAATCGTTTGTCTCAAAATCACAATCTGGCAAGTCGATTTCAGTGGAAACATCAGGATTAATTAAGTCTTCAGATCGGTATTGATATGTTTTTGACAAACGCTTGTAAAGCAACTTTCCGTTATGAAAATTTAGTTGTCGAAGACGTATTCTGCTATTTTGATTATTCCAAAATCGTTCTTATTTGACGAGACCTTCAATAGATTGTCTCGAACATTAGCGCGTTCTAACGCAGTTCATATGGATTCAGCGTAAACAAGAACGACCCGTGCATATTCGGTTGACATTATTTTACCCTATATTTTGAATGGGACTTTGTTTTATTAAGATGCATATATGGATATGGCCTGAGGTCCTGGAACTAGTTACAAGTGCTAAAATCCTAAAATTTCCTACACATTGGGGCCGCCTCAGTGGTCTACCGGACAGAGCATCTGCCCAGGGACGGACAGGTGAGTGGTTCAATCCCCTGTCGCGTTTTGCAAAATACGTAAAAATATTACACTTGATGTTACCCTGCCTGGCTCTCAGCATCAAGAGGATAACACAAGGACTTGACGGCTATGCTGTGCCTGCGCAAGGTACCTATGTGACAACTGTACGTAGTTTAGTATGATCTTAAATTTCTTAATTTCACATCACCTAACTGTTTCATATTTAAATATATGCTTAAAATGCTACCTGACAAAATATATCTACAAGAATAATAATCATAAGGGCTAACAACTTTCCAATAGATAACGATTCCTTTATGTCAAGCAATATTACAGCAGCTCCAGGCTTTAAACAAGTTTTATGGAAGACATGTGGAGTTCCTTTATATACTTACGAGAATCACAGCACAATTGGAAAGTAAATGAAAAATATCTGAAAGATAGGTTTATACTTTATCAACTACCTGCATAAAAGAAATTGTGAAATATATTATGGTTGATATAATGGGGAAAGCAGGTTAACAATGTTTGTGATAACTGTTTCATGTAGCTTACGTCAGATTATCCTCACAGTTTGTTGATTGACCTCAAAGTAACCGGACGCATGGTAACACCAGCGACCAGGATGTAAACATCGTCACTGAAACTGTAACAGGTGCGTCACTTGAATCTCAGCATACGGTCTCTACTGAACTGCGGTAAGTAAGAAATATATGGCGAAAATCAAAACAAACAAAGTATAAATTAAATTTTAGCAGTTGTAGATCAGACCATATTGTTTATTCACGTTGATGTCGAACTTGTCTATTCATCTAAATTATCGAGCATGTAATAGCCAGTACATGGATGATAACAAGCGTTTTGTAGCCTACACAATGGATTGAATGATCATTTGCTATGTATGTATGTATGTATGTATGTATGTATGTATGTATGTATGTATGTATGTATGTATGTATGCATGCATGCATGCGTGCATGCATGTATGTATATATGTATGTATTTTATAAAACTGCTGAACCGACATCAAAGGAGCACAACACCAAAAAGCACACCAAAACAAAATAGCACCTTTAATTGAGATAGAGAGGGGGGACCCTTTACAGGGAGCGATGCACGCTGCCATTGCCAGAACGTTTCAATGCGCCCGTATAACCGTTTCCAGGTTGATGCAACGACTACGTCGAAGAAGCCGAAGACCACGGGTTGCCACGCCCATTCAAGATCGCTACATCCGGACAATTCACATCAGTCGACAAACCGTGTACAGAAGATAACGAGCTCATGGCACATCGACCCTACCCGGGAGTGTTGTTGACATCTCCTCGACGGACTGGTACGGGTCAAGAGACTTCGACGTTGGCAACTGCGTGACTGAGCACGTGCTCTCCGATGAAAGCAGATTCTGTCTCTTCAGTAACGATTGTCGGCAGAAGAGCTGTGAACGTTTATCGCCGAATTGTATTCATCAAGTCCGGGCATTTGAGTGAGTGTGAGTGAGTTTGGTTTTACACCGCTTTTAGCACTATTCCAGCAATATCACGGCGGGGGACACATTGCACCCATGTCGGGATTCGTACCTGGGTCTTCGGCGTGACGAGCGAACGCTTTAACCACTAGGCTACCCGACCGCCCCAGGCATTTGAAGGCGGAAAAAACACACGATTTTTACGTGTCATTATGATGAGTATTCTTACATTTTACACACTTGCTTCGTCATGTGTTAGGACTGGGACATCCATTTTTAACCCCACGCGTATTTATGGGCCTGTCCGTCTGCATGTCAAAGTTTGATTGAAATATTGTTTTGTAAACATGATTTTTAATTATTGTTCTCAGGAAATATACTAAAATGGGTAGGATATATGATTTTCTTTTTCTTCCAAAACCTTTCAAACACTTGGCCTCGTTTCTTGTGATCATTAGTGTATGTTTCCTGCAAGTAAAATTGTGTTTCATATGGTTTCGATAAGAGACACACGAACGTCATTCTGTGATAACTGGGTAAATGGCTTGCTGTCGATAGATCTATAGAAAAGTAAATAAAACACGCAATTTACAACTTACCTTTGTTGACGGATTCTCGTTGGATGCGCACATGTGCGTCCATGGTGCGTCCATGGTGTTTTCATAAAATAATCAAAATGTGACTCCAAAGTATGGTTTTATGATGATGAACACAAAGGGAGACAAAGATTGGATTTGATCAATAACAATAACAGTCCCTCACCCATGGGGATTCCGGGTGAGAATATGGTTCCCCAGCGACCAATGATAGCGTAGGAAACAACAAAATGCATCGGTAGAATTGGTAGATGCATCTCAGCATATCCCTTTTGCGTGGAACGATGTGCATCATTCCAATAACTGGATTGTCTGGTGCAGATTCGATTATTTTGTTTGTTTGTTTGTTGTTTAACCCCGCACTCAGCAATATCCCAGTTATATGACGGCGGTCTGTAGTCTGTAAATAATCCTGTCTGGGCCAGACAATCCAGTGATTGACATCATGAGCATCGATCGTGTAGGGTCACGATGACATTCGCGAACAAAGTCAGCGAGCCTGACCACCACAAGCATAGTCGCCTTTTACGGCACGCATTGGTTGCTGAAGACCTATTCTACCTCGGATCTACTTTTTACGGTTATATAGTGGGAATATGCAGAGTTAAACAACAAACAAACTATTCTTTTGGACTGTTACAATGCAACGATTTCAGCACGTTTATTTTATATTTCATTTATCTAAAATACCTGCTTTAATATGTTTTAGTATGTTTTCAAAGTGCACCGAAATTCGAATGCTTTTGTTTATACAGACATCAAACATTTGACGTTTCCCTATGAATCAAAAGCCCCATAAGGCATAACTCTATATATCCTGTTGTATCTATAAATATCATTTAACATGTATAAATATCATTTAACACTAAGTCTTCCTTTCGTCACAAAATCTGACGTGTGTTCATGAACGTGGGTCAATGACATTGTCTCTGCACCGGAACAATAGCCATTTGGCGTTCTGTCAGGTGATTACCATTAATCGTATTATTTCGACCTATGTACTATCAACATGGCTGTTATCATCTAAACTTCAACCCTAATATTTGTCTTACGCCGTCCGAGGGAGAAATTTAGGCTCTTGGACAAGAGAATGAATCGGTCGTTATCATGACGTAACAAATGATTATGAAAATGTTGACAAATGAAAAAAATGTATCAGTGTTCCCGTCCACCAAACACGCGCGAAAATCCATCCGTACAAAAATCAGCACTTATATAGTGGTAAGTGCCCTGGCACCAACGGATTAATGCTTGACGTAAAAGGCGATTATGCTTATGCGAGTGGTCAGGCTCTGTGACTGGGTTGATGCATGTCATCGTGTCCCAACTGCGTGGATCGATGCTCATGATGTCAATCACTGGATTGTCTGGTCTAGATTCGAATTTATATGACCGTCATATAGCTGGACAATTGCTGAGTGGGGCGTTAAACAACACACAAACAAACTAAGAAACAAATATAACATCCTATCATTTGATAAACTACAAATAGCATATGACGTTATATTTAAAGGTTTCCATGATGACAAACATGACCCAATACGGAGTTCATATTCTGATTCTTCTGGTCGAATCACTCTTATTAGGTAAGTCTTTTGGTATTTGTTTGTACTTTGCCTCAGCCTTGCTTCTAAATAAGTATTGCGAAGAGTTTTAAACCAGTATGTTGACAACATGAGTCGTGTCAGTAAAATTTATACCTGGGGGAAAAAAAGGTAAAAATACGTATTACTTGAGCAAAATGTGGATTACGATTTGCCAAAAACTGCTGGATGCAGAAAAATCATGTTTCAAAAGCAGAGATCATATCTTCTACGACAGTGGTTGTTTTGCCTGATTGTTAAAGCTATCACTCATCAAGACGATAGTGAGACAAAGAACGAAACCCAATTCTGGGTCCTTCCCCTTCTGTGATATGTGTCGTAGGCACGTTTGTTCTCTCTGCAACCAAGTGATCTAGTAGATTGTTTTATTATGAATATGTCCTCTGATGATCATTAACTTATCATACTTAATGTTCCAGTTTCCCCCGGTCTCATCTGTCCAGAAATCAGTTACCTTGGCGGTCCTGCCCAGCTGATCTGCACTGGCGGGACACTTGTACACACATATTACAACACGGGTGGTAAGGTGGCTACGTGTGGATTGACCCTTAATTCATCGTGTGATTCCACTGACATGTTGGCGTATAGACTCAAATCAGACGGCACTAAGTATAACAAGTGTACAGATATCAGATGCGGGAACATGGGTCTGCAAGAATGCACGCAATTCAAACACGTCATGTCATCTGACTATTGCAAGTAGGTAGTATCAAAGTCAATAGCATGTTAATGGTTGTGCGTAAAATCACACGCGAAGCATGTTCATAACACATATGTAAAAGGAACAAGGGTTTCATAACATACCTACAACATCTCATCAAAGTATTACGCCTAGCTTACATAGAACTGAAATGTTGATGTGATGTTCAATCTTTCTTACGACATTCCCCGTGAATTTCTTTTCTCGAGGTCGGTTATTTGTAGAAGGTCACATCCCGATATGTCAACCAACCCCTCCATAGCAGCAACGTACTCGTATTCCTAGTCCTCATTCAATAATAGTATCTGCCCATTCAAGAGTTATTTTCAAAAGTAAAAACAGATTGCAGTGACTAGGGGTGGTAGTACTGGTATCTGAAACATGATGTTGTATGTATTATCAGACAGGGTCAGAAACTAATTTTAGTCATGTGCTTAAATATTGGTAAAACGTCATGCCTACACTCTGTGTTACAGATATCCCAACCTACAACATAACCAGTGACAGGGCTGCAGACGCCGTGGATGTATATGATGGGATATCCCTCACAGTGGACATCCGGGGCTTCTACTGTTCTGCAGCTCACAACTTGACGCTGCAGGTCGGGAGTGTGACACAGCCACTGAACATGTACTTACCCGAGGCTGTGACCGAACCAACAAACAGAAACTTCACCATCTCCATTAATGTCACAGAGTCACACTTTGGAGATGTAGAACTGATCTTTCTATGTAACGGCCAGCAGTTGAATGTTAGTCATCGAAGTGTTACACAACTACAACAAAGTACTTCGACCACGGTTTCAGGTAGGTTTATATCATTGCATGGCGCCTGTCCACCCGCCCATACACCCGACAGTCTGTCATAAATTTGAAATGGTTCTTATCATCCACAATGCATTTTGGAGTAACATCTCAGAAAAAAATATGTCAGCACAACGTTACGGTTCACCTACTTACAGAATATCAAATGATTCGTCTCCAAGTAATCCTAACCAAAGAGACTTTCAACTGAGTAGATGTATCAATTTAATTTAGTACACTGTGCAGCTTCTTGAGAACATCGCAATATGTAACACAAGGGCAAAGCCATTGACGCCACCCGCTTGTCGTGAATACATATATCAAAACTTGTTGCCATTACAACTCGAAACAATATTTGATTAACAAATCCCGAACTTTCAAAGGGAACCAGGTTACCACTAGACCTATCTTTGGGCCTAGTGTGGTGAAGTTATAATGCTCTGTTTTCGAGATCTGCTCATGAAGCGACCCCATTTTTAGCGTAAGTCAAAGTCATGGGAACCGGAACAAATACTTGTAAAAACTACAAAACTTTCAAAAGTCACCGGATCACCGCCAGAGCTATCTATGTACCAAGTTTGTGGAGAAATATTGTACATTTGTTCAAGATCTGGTACTGCAATAACATCTTACACAGACAAACGGACTGATGGTGTCCATGTTAACAGCCCCACAAAACGCGTTGCGGGGATAATTATCAAACGTAGTGTTGTGTATTGATTATCCGAACATTTCGAGTGGTCAGCAGTAGACCAAGAATTATTCACACATGATGAAATAACTGTAGGAAGCTGATTACAACTAAATTGAATATTTTAGTGTTGTGCAAAAATGCGTTCCCTTAATCTCATTGCATTGCCCTTATCACTGAAATAACGTTCGAAACAGCTCTTTTCTGAGGGAATACTGATAATTTGGCCAAAAATATACAATGTAAAACGATAATCGGTAGTGAAAATAGATAAATAATGTAATACTACGCTTACAGAGATAGAATTTGTTGATTTGTGTTGCACTGAAGATTTCGTATGGGTGTCGACAAGTTTCTGTGTATCCATGAATAAATAAACAGTCTGGGAAGTCATAACTGTTGACGTATTTATCTAAAAGAATTGACTTCAATATATTTAAGAGGTTATGGAGATATATATGTAAAAACAGGTGTGCGTAAACCCGCTATGCTAGCACACCAGTTTTTACAATTATACATCCATGAACACAGAAAATATGGAAGTTAATTGTTAATTAAACTGTAACTGAAAAAAAGATGTCAAGATGAGAGTAAACATTATGAGTATTTATTGAACAGATCGTTGAGACACAACATTAAGCAAACATTGTCCGGATAAAGTAAATGCACCGTTGTGTCAGACTTACTCTAATGGTGTTACGCCGATTCCCGTGTTGACAGGCGGTTCAGGACGGTTTGAGTTGATTCTCCATTTCCCAAACATGTGGCAGTGTGTGCGTGTGCGTGTGCGTGTGCGTGTGTGTCCGTGCGTGCGTGCGTGCGCGCACGCGTACGCGTGTGTGTGTGTGTGCGTGTGCGTGTGTGAGACTGCGTGTGTGGCTGTCTGTACAAGTCCGGTCTTTTTTATCCGATTATATAGTGCTAGCTCACTTGAGATTCCATACCGCAGTTTTACATCAACACAACACGGATACACAGTACACTGACTCAGAGCCCCTCTGTATCTCCTTACTGCCGAGCGACAGGCATGAGTGTGAGTAGGTTACACATAACTATTGTGAGTTTTGGTATTGATAAGGTTCTTGGTTATGTATTGACAAGAGATATATGTTTGTATTGATATGATTTCTTTTTTTTTTTTTTAGAAATTGAGAGAATTTCTTTGGCTGTTCTGTTTATATACGTTTGAGTAGCTGATCATCTCTCAGAAATAGAGAAGCTTGGCATTCGCTATTGTAATCTTACCTAACTTTGACTACATGAAATTTGGAGAAGTTAATCTTTTTAATATGTTCTTGCATATATGGTATTCAATAAACACATTGTAGATTGATTTATTTTGGAGAGACACAATCGAAATCATCGACACTGTTCCGCCAGCATAGATCGGGCATAAACAGAAATGTTTCCAATTGTGTCTGCAAACATTTGAAACTTGAAAATCCCTAAAAAATCAACCTTATTGAATGTCCAGAAACAAAATCACTGTATTTGTCTGATGTGTACAGTAATGCCAGATGGTTGTAATGACACAATTAAAGACGTTGGTAATATTTCTAACCAACAAACTGCTGTTCAATGTTAATTCAACAAACACTGTTATATTTATTTCTAATACAGGACATTTACCATCCCCATTCACACTCGCGTGATAACCGTATTGAGGGTACACCTGCAATTAACGAAGCAGCTTGTGCAGTTGACACTTTACCTTAACCAACCAACACTTACGTATACTGATAAAATTGTCCGAGTGAGTGTCATGTAATTGTCGAGAAGTGATACATGGCCCATCTAATACTTCACGTCATCCTTAAAACAGTACAGCTAGAAACACCTTACACTTATTTGGTCCAAAACAATGTTGTCTTGCGCATGTAAGAAACGCAAAGTATTGACTGAAAACGGTTGTTTTTAAGAGACGACTATTCTGTTGCAGGAACTAATGTACCAACTACTCAATCCGTAGGAGCTCCGTCAACAGAAATCCCTCCAAAGGATGTTTCAACTCTATTGATAGTTGCAGCAGGAGTTACTTCGGCAGTCATCATCATCCTAATTATCACCATCGCCTGCTGCTGTTGCAGTTGTAGAAAAAAGGTAAATCCAACTGAAACACGCCAATGCAGTATTCCCTCTGAGTCAAATACGGCTTATTCTGAAGCGGGTGTTAGTTTTCAGGACGCTAGTGAAAGCAACGGCATAAACGGCAGTTCAGAGAGCCGTGCCACCCACTGTTTGGTCGTGACACTAAGAGATACTGAAGATCTGCATGACAGCATTGGGAACGGGGGATCAATATACGACAGATTGTACATCAACTAGACAGACTGTCTGCCTCTGCTAATAAAACCAAGCAGAACGTAACCGTACCACTGTATGGCGATGCCCAGAGCAGTATAGTTAGGGTTATACAATAAGTATTGATTGATTGATTGATCAAAAGCAGCAAATTAATTCTAATTTTCGAGATAGATTTAACATGTTCATAACCTGCTGGTTTTGTTTTTACTTTGTAAGCTCATGCATGTATTTACCAAGAGAAAATACCCTAGCAGTACACAAGAGTGGGAACGCCAGAAACCTATGATTGAGGGTTCGAATCCCGGTTCGCCTCGATTATGTTTCTAGGTTTGTCAGCACCATACCAGTGCTCGTGGGTTTCACCTAAGTGGTAAACGTCTGAGACCTGCTTCACTTCGGGCTTTCTTCCCACATCAAGCTGACACGCAGTGATATAACTGGAATACTGTTAATAGCGGCGTTAAACCCAACTCACTCACTCACTGTCAAAAAGCTATAGTTTGTATTTTTTTTACCAGTGGTTTCTTGTGTGCTCACATGAGACAGATCAAGGACACGTGCCGTCACACCTACATGGTGTATTACACCAAGAAGACCCTTTTATGCGATATTTTTTATTTGCATCAAAAGTTATACAATATTAGTGATAGATCTGATTTGAATGAAATTGTGATGATTTCCAACTAACAATGTACGGAACCATTATTCATGCACACAAACAGATAATCAGAACTAGATTATGATTGAACGATTATTCGTTTTATCCGACCTCGTCATATCAAGGTATGCTGTATAGTCCTTGAAAAATAAGACCCATTGTCAGCCATCATATCCAGAAGAATGCTAGCCTCTTGAAAGTTGTAACAGTGTCATTGTAACGGATCCATTCCACTTTTGGTACACGATATGTTCGTTGCTTGCCATAGAAGATTCAATGTCAGGATAGGTGACCAGCATCCCCGTGTTGTGGTAGGAGTTAACGGCATTGAAGATCACGAGGCTGCAACATAGCTGTGCATGTTTAATTCTACCCCGGACCCGTGAAGATCCGGGTTAGAATAGGTCTTCAGCAACCCATGCTTGCCGTAAAAGGCGACTATGCTTGTCATCAGAGGCGACTTAGTCGCACAATGGCGATCACTCAACGCCTGATGAACATTGTCAAGAAAGGGTGAATGCTGACGGTGGCTACACCAGTTACTGACGCTTATGCGACTTATATGAACGTCATTTTAAGGGGTTCAAGAATGTTTTCATCAGGGTAATAAACAAGTGTATAATTAGGAGATGTTTTCTATGTAACCCCGCTAAATTAGCCTCTAGCCCAATCAGAATCGAGTAAATTCCAAATTTATGGTAGAATGTAATATAAAGTTTGTTCGTTTTGCGTTATCTGTTCTTGAGACATCAAAGAGATATTTTGTCAGTAGTCGTCACAATGTTAGCTAGTAAGCTCATATTTATATGCAAAAATGTTTTTGACCATTGACTACTTTTGAATAGGATATATAAGACAAATGACGTTCGCAAAAAAATTGGAATCAAGTTTTTCACTTCACCTGACCTTTAATGTGGAGGAGATGTTTTCAAGACTATGTATTCAAAGATGCATAACATATTTTCAAAATGAATTTTGTCATTTAATTATATATTTTTTAGCAAGGGTACTTTTTGCTGGTACATATATATATATTTATATATATAAATTGAATATTCATGGAAAAGGTTTTTAGACGACTGTTTTATCATATTAAAAAGCAGTAAAAGTCAACTTACAGCTGTTCATGAAATTTTAAATTCACTTAATGCGACACTCAATTTCACTATGGAAAAAAGCGAATCCAGTTTAACTTTTCTCGATTTTAGAATCAATTTAATATCTGGGAGATTTGTACAAACTGATATATTTTATAAAAATACTGATATGCACCAATATTTGGATTTTGGATCATGTCACCCGTATCATACAAAACGAAATATCACTTACTGTCTCGCAAGACGTATTTGTACCATTATTTCCGGGAATGATGTTAAAACTACCCGCCTTGCTTAACTTAAGAGTTTCCTACTGCATCAAAATTATCCCGCAAAGCTTATTGAAGATAGCATACGGAAGGCGCTAAGTTTTAAGCAACTAAAACTGAGAGAAAAGTCTGAAGAAAACAATATGGGGAATAAGTTAACTCTAGTATCTACCTTCAACCCTAATCATGAAAAGACATTATCCATGGTTCAACGATACCTGCCTATTTTGAATCAAAGTATTAAAATGGAGAAGATATTGAGCAAATACAAAATTATCAACAGCCAAAGACAACCCAAAATTTTTAGAAAGATTTTGACAAGTTCTAAATTTGATTCTGTTGTCATCACTCCACAGGTTTCTAAGTGCGGTGACAAACGTTGCCTAACTTGCAGCAATATAATTGAAGTCTGTTCAGTCCAAATTACAAAGGACACTTAATTTACTGTAAAACAAAATATGACTTGTGATACTAGAAATGTTATTTACTTGATTGTTTGCAGTGGATGCAATGAAAAGTATATCGGAAAGACAGAACTTAAATTAAAAAGAAGAATGAATATTCACCGTTCACAAATAAAGCAGCCACACAACCGCACGATTCAACTCAGTGAACATTTAGAAGCATGTGGAAACGGCAACGTTTTAGTTTTCCCGCTATATAAGCTAACTTTTGATCATGAACCTACATTGTTTCAAAAAAGAGCAACATTTCATTCATAAATACGCGCCTAAGTTAAATGTAAAGGCGATTGCCTAAACCACTAAGCTATCCACTGCCCTAAATGGCTCAAAGCTAAACTAGCGTATCAGTAGAGGGGGTATATCATTTTTCTGTCTTTTTTGTCGTTGGTAAAAACAGGTGACAAGATCAGCAGACAAACATGCACATGATGACGTGGTTGTAACTCTGTCACAAGGGAAACGGAACCAGGCTGAGGACAATGTTGTAATCGGCCCTGGAGGATCTGCTTCTGGTAATGATCATCAAGGACCCCGACTGCATATTAATCTTGTATTAATCAAGGTTCTTCATTTGTATTAACATAATGTAATTTTCTGGTAGACAGCTAAACAAAAAGTATATGATAAATTGGATATTCAATGTGTCGAGTGACGGGGAAAGAGGAGATACATATATATCTCCTTTGCCCCCGTCATTCAATGAGAGATATTTCACTCGACACATAAAATATCCTCTACAAATTTCATTCTTCATATTCACTAGTTTATGTATAACGTTTCGTTGTTTTCAATTTTATTATTGTCCCGGAAAGTGGTTTTACTGCTATTATTCACAATGCTATAATTTGTTTGTTATTTAAAGCTTTACGTAGCAATATTCCACCTATATGACGTTTACCCATAGCCGAGTCTGGAGCTGACAATCCGTCCATAGGCATCAAGATCGTCAATCCAAACATGTGTGACTCGATGACACGCATGCAACCCCGTAATGGAGACTGACTACCTACTCCATTTAGTCGCCTCTTATGACAAGCATATGTTGCTGGGGACCATTGCTAACCACCAATCCTCACGGATGACAATGCAATAAACATAATAATCCATTACTCTTGGGTCTACACTATGTTTTATAAACATAGTGCGGTTGAAGCGTACATTGTTTTAATTCCTTGTCTGCCATTCTCACGTCAATTTTTTATGAATCAATTTGTTGTCTAAAATACTAGTTGTCCCAAAGTATGATACAATTTTGGCATTTGTTTCAGGTGGCGATAACCTACATCCTGAAACGAGAGGAGAATATGTGGCCCTTGATAGAAATGCTGTCCAACCCTCAAACATCTATGAACAACTGGGAACATATGAAGAAATTGGCAACATGTGAAGTACTGCTATCCTGATAAGTAACGGGAGACTACACTAAACATATCAATATACTCTCGCCTTGTTTAAACTGATATTTAAATGGAGTGTACATGTCCACTATGGAATACAAGATCAAAGTTCGAAATAGATAACATTTATATCTAGCACAAAGGTTTCACATTACATTTTAGAATTAATCTTCAGGATAGTGTGTCAGAACGTCACACTTATTATAAACCTAAACACATCAATGTAAAGGACTATCACCGTGTTTGGATAATAGTGTGTCTGTCTTGGTCTAATGTAGTAGTTTGGGAATCCTAGCCTAGCAAACAGGACGTTTATTTTGTCGAGTTGTAGGATAAATGGTATCTGACAGGCACGAGTGCAGTAATCTATTTCTTACACACCCTTAAATCGCACCTTTTTTATGAATTTTAATTTTGTTCTTATTATGGTGATCGCAGTGGCGCATTAATACAAAGACAACGGTCATGAGTGACGTCACCCGACGCCTGATTGCTTCGCATAACTAATGTGACCCTACACAAAAAGGTTTACGTCATATCTAAAATTATCTATGGATTATCAAGGCGATGATGTTAATGCAAACTAAATAAAATAACAAAACCCGCTTCAAACTTAAAAGTTTTCACCTCAAAGAAAAGACCAAATATGAACAACAATGTTCACTTACGTATGACATCACTACCGCTGACCGACTTTCACAAAATGGCCTGTTCCCAGACAACACTATGACAAACTGCGAAGTGTAATTTGCTGATTTTTTTCAAATGAAATCAAGAGAATTAGTAAGAAATAGAGATAACTACCGTCGTCGTTGTGCATGACTTTCCGTCAGTCATAGCGTCATTCGCAGGACGGAAAGTTTTACTTTATCATTGTCTATATATTTTTAATTCAATAATTTTGATTATGATACTCGTCCCATGAATAATCTTAAACGCGTGAGCAAATGTATACAACAATGAGATGAACGGATAGCTGAAAAAAATAAGGAGAAAATGCCACACAGTGTAATATCTGAATTTTGTTTTGTTAACTTTACAACAAGTACAGTTTTCCGAGCACATTGTTCGTTTTCACGCCAAATTTATTTTGCTTAATTTCATCTAGATAACTTGTATTGGTGACAAAGACGATTTGTCATTTGATTATAAAGTGCATTAGGGTTGCGGGGATGCGTGTATCGCAGCTGCGTATGAAATATACATCTAATAGGCGTCTCATAATCGACACCTGAAACGTGATTTGTTAAACACTATCCCATATGCAGGCACACTTCGGAGTTTGTGTTTGTAAAAGTACACCCCAACTGTCACACACAGAGGTACACGAGACGGAACCTCGAGTTATGATAGGTGCGATTTCACAGTGGACACGTACACAATATACACATCTGGCAGCCACGATTCGCGAGAACGCCAGAGGTGACAGTGCCATTGCCACTCCCAACACTACATTTATTTGGACAGTCCCGCTCATTCATAAACACAGCTGTCGCTGCATAGGTCTGGTCATCACTTCTAAGTTCGACAGTAACATAAACCTTTGCAGCAGCCTGACATTAAGAAACTTATCAGTTAGAGTGTCAGATGGGATATTTACAAATTGATAATAATTTATGTAACCAAATGGGCTAAACAAATTCCGCAAATAATCTGAACATTAAAACGCTCTCACACCAGTTTGTTTAATTCTCTGTGCTCTACAACCCCTTACGATCCTGAATGGGGCGTTAAGCTAATCATACAAAAGCAAATATGAGATATTAAATGAAACAAGACACTTTTTCATTTATTATTTATTCACCTTTTTATGTCGCACTTTACGTTAAGCTTTAATGTTTACATTAGAAGGTCAAAAAATGTTTTGAAGATCAGACCGTCTCCGTGGTCTAGTGAATAGACCGTCTGCTCGGAAACCGGAAGGGCGGTAGTTCTATCTACAAAAGATGGAACATGCATTTACCCTGCCTGGCGCTCAGCATTAAGGCAATCAAGGACTGTTCGGTTCAACCACCTTTCACCTCACCTCACTCTTTTTTAGATTATATTTTATCATTTTTAGGACACTTTCACATATTGCATATAATATGACCATATTACACCATATAGCCGATTAAAGGTAAAAGGAATTTGCAATGAATATAGTTGATCAGTCGACATTGTAAGTCATCATTTATCAGGAATATAAGGTTTCAGATCAGGATTGATAACATGTAAAGTTATTTTCAAGCTGTGAATGCAATGTTACTTGACAGTTGTGAAGAAACCAATAATTGGAAGTTGTTATATTCCAGTTTTTAAAACGTTGAAATAATTGTATATACTTTAATCAGTCATAGACATAATTCAGACCGAAATAATATAATCATATATGTCAAATAGAACAGAAGTTCTAATGCTGGAGTTCGGAGTGGCAGCTGGATGAGTGTGTATTTCTGCTGGAGAGAGTGGGTGCCTTCCTTGCCAAGTATAAAGTTTAATTCAATGAGGCGGTTTGTGCCTGTATGTGTTCGCTGAGGAGGATACAGGGGTCGAATTTAGTTCTTGCCATCCCCACCCCTCGATTGCAATATGGATTTATAATAGTTTCATATACATATAGTATATCATCACTACACGAATAATCACTTTTGCTTTGTTCTGTTATGTTGTTGTTCCTATTCACATGCATGGTTCAACCTTTTGTTCACGTTAGCTTACGGGTTTACAATTATAGTGAACACCTTTTGAAAATAACATGCTGGGTAGTTTTATTCCTGCAACTTAATAACAATTGAATAACCAATTCTCGTTTCGAATATGCTTCATGGATTCCTGTGCTATTTCCCTGATCATCAACCAAGCTATTCTTTAAACCATACTTTGAGTGATGTGTTGAGCTGAATCATGTCGTTGTTGTTAGGATACACCCTGTTAGACAACATGTATAGAAAGAAAGAAACTGATTTGATCATTTCTTAAACACATAATGTTGTTATGTGAATCAAAGCAAACTTCGTAATAAACATAACTTTATCAGAATGCATTGCCATAATGTTTCTTCAAATGTTAAGCATAAAGATGTGTTGATATCAGTAAATTGTACATGATTTTGCAAATGCCATATTTACATTTTTGTATCAAATAAATTGATGTTCTTTGGTTTTATGTCCCACTTCCTTTTTTGAGTTAACGTTAGTAAAATGTTCTCGCTTATGACATGTTTGGGTGTTTGATAATCGATGAAGTCGGTAAATGGCATGGGAAAGAGTTAAAGTAATATTAAAACTGAGTTTGGTGTACTTCCTCGTTCTCGATATAGCAGCTCACACATAGAGATAACGAAACATTTATTAAACACGCAGGATAAAGGACACGTCCATATAAATACATTTTCGCCACGCCTTTGCGTTGATTCTATGACAAATGTTTAATAAATAGAGCTGACTTTCCTCGTAAGCAAGTGTTGTTGTTACTAATATAACGGATGAATAGTGTTAGCTGAACGTTATCGTGGTACTCCACTGAAAAGGTCAACATTATTGATGTACTTCCTGTTAAATATACGGTTCATGTTGATCTGACGTTATCAATGTTCAGTACTAGCACTACTTTTGCATGCATGAGAAGGACGGCAATTGTTAAAAAAACAGTTTAGAAAATATTCTTCTTTGTCCCTTGTTAAGCATACACGCATATGTTGTTTCTATCCGTTATGTCATTTGGTCAGTTGAGACTAATACAACTACAAACTTTATTTTATTTGTAACAAAATAAAATGATTTTCTGTTTGGAATCTGGAAGTATGTAGCAGCCCATTGAGAAGAGTGTTTGTTTGTTTTTACCTACTTTAGGGACTTTACATTGTAACTTGTCTACACAATACTGGACTCAAAACACACCTGATTAATAGTTACAGTCCGTTTGACTCCAAATGAGAACGATGAATTGCAAAATAACTCGAAATCCAGAAAAGTGTATGAAACATCAATACGGTACTTGACAAAGAATACCCTGTACCCAACAAAATCTGAATTTTGTTTTATTTAAGACCCATGACGGATAAAGTTCTTTAAGAAACTATCATGTAATTTTGTATAGAAATGTGTACATTACACGTAGGGGGGGACAAACCGTGGAAGGAACAGCGCAAGAACGCATGTACTGCACCTTCTGTGGTAGGGGAAATAACAGATGCCATAGATCTCGTCGTCGGAACTTTGATATGTACTTTATATTAAAACCCTCGACATGCTCAATATAATTTAACAAAAGAAATTGTGTACATGAATGTCCTATGAGAGTGATGTGTCCGAAAGCTGGAAACGAAACTATCACCGTCAGTGAGTGAGTGAGTAATATTGCATTAAGGCGCATCAGCAGTCTTGCAGCTATTGGGGGCTACACTGTCAGTTACAGAAATAATCACAAGCGAGTGAGTTTATCAATGAGGCAATTTATACACGGCTATAATATTCATTAAAATAAAATTCTCACAGACCAATTTGTAGCATTCGCTTAAAATGATATTTTCCGATGTCTTTTTTGTTATACAATACCATATTCGCTACTTTAATTGATAGATTTTCATCCGCTCCCGCCTGACAACAAAACATTCGGCCTTACATAATTCTAATGCCCTCCAATTCCTAGAAATAGAAGTATCGTTAATATGAGCGTTCCTAGTTTCCTACGTTCCTACCTGATAAAATACTCCGTACACGTACTGAACACACATGATGTGAATCGCACCCGTCGACAGCAATTGTAAACAGATGCCTAAAGTAGGTCGATAAGAACAAAATAAAACGTTACAAATATAATGCCTCCTGTCTCCTATGTTTTTAAAAAATCAATCAAACCGTAACTATTAATTTATTGCGGTATTAACATCCAAATGACAGGCATGCATATACTGGAAAAGTACCCCAAATATCCATAAGGGACCTTCATCATCTTGTCATCTCTTTCCCTTTATCATCCTGTTATCTCTTTCCCTTCATCATCCTGTTATCTCTTTCCTTTCATGATCCTGTTATTCCTTTCCCTTCATCTTCCTGTTATCTATTTCCCTTCATCACCCTGTTATCTATTTCCCTTCATCATCCTGTTATCTCTTTCCTTTCATCACCCTGTTATCTCTTTCCCTTCTTCACCCTGTTGTCACTTTCCCTTCACCATCCTGATATTTCTTCCCCTTCATCATCTTGTTATCTATTTCCCCTCATCCCTCTGTTATCTCTTTCCCTTCATCATCCTGTTATCTCTTTCCTTTCACCATCCTGTTATCTCTTCCCTTGATCATCTTGTTATCTCTTTCCCTCATCATTCCATTATCTCTTCCCTTTATCATCCTGTTATCACTTTCCCTTCATCATCCTGTTATCTCTTCCCTTAATCATTCTGTTATCTTTTCCCCTTCATCACCTTGTTTACCCCTTTCCGTTCATCTTCCTGTTATCTCTTTCCCTTCATCATCCTGTTATCTCTTTCTTTTCATCATCCTCCTATCTCTTCCCTTCATCATCATGTTACCTCTTCTCTGCGCCATCCTAGTATCACTTTCTCTTCATCATGCTGTTGTCTCTTTCCTTTCATCATCCTGTTAACTCTTTCTCTTCATCCTCCTGTTATATTTTTCCCTTCATCATCCTGTTATCTCGTTCTCTTCGTCATCCTATTATCTCTTTCCCTTAAACATACTGTTATCTCTTTCCCTTCATCATCCTGTTATCTCTTTCCCTTCATCATCCTGTTATATTTTTCCCTTCATCACCCTGTTATCTCTTTTCCTTCATCACCCTGTTATCTCTTTCTTTTCATCATCCTGTTATCTCTTTCCCTTCATCTTCTTGTTATCTCTTTCTCTTTACCATCATGTGAAGGAATGTCACATGGTAACAAATGTGAGTACCTCCGATTCGCACACACATGGTGTTTGCGCTTTTTTCTCAGCGCATTATTTCACTCTAACTGAAATACAGTCAAACTCCGTTCAGCCGCACGGTATCGTCCCGAGTACAATCATTCGGAATACTTCCTTTCATGTCAGTCAGGAAACGTAAATGAAATTTCATTTGTTTGGCTGGCTGTTTGTTTGTTGTTTAACGCCGCACTCAGCAATAACCCAAGTCATATGACGGCGGCCTACACAAAAACCAGTCGGATCGATGTGGACATAGCAGGCTAACGCAAAACCAATCATGTATAGTTCAACCCTAATCCGAACAGTACATATTATCACATGCCCGGATTAACGATTCATTTAACTAAATTCTTCTTGGATTTGGACTAAGTGGTAATTTCATGACTGATAACGAGTTATAATCTACACTTAAGCATCTACAATGATAATGAGAAGGAAGTTTATCATCTTTCATCCTGTCATCAGGTTGCTGTCCGAACATCTTGATCGCCGTCTATATAGCTTAAGTATTGCTGACTGCGACGCAGAAAAATCATATATATAGTTCTTGTAAAGCGTTTACAATATATTCATCTGAGATCACTGTAAGGTAGAGAGAGTTACCTCCCTTGCATCATCTCCCAATTGTGTTCTGAAAAGAGGTCCTTCACTATCATTCAGCGGGTGACCACCTGGATTGGCAGTGATACACACATATAAGGATACGACGTTGATCTGTGATAAACTCGTTAACACATCTGCTTCCATCAACAGTAGACAGGGATTCCTTTCCTGTCTGCAGAGAGACTCTGAAAGTTGATTGATTAGTTGATGGATTTAGTATGAGGCCTACACTTCTATAGCCACGTTCATGCGCGCGTGTGTGTGGTTGTTTTTGTAACTCCAGCTAACTAAGATACGATGCCACAGTATCCACACTCGAAAAACAGAAAATAACTCAAGTCGTTGCTGTACCATATTTTTAACAAATATATTTTGTATTAAGCGGCCAGGGGATCGAACGACGACCTACCGCGTTCGGGGCACTTAACCATGGACATACGATGAAAAAAATGCTCAATATATTTAAATTCACATCACACAAACTATTGATTGCTTTGACTTTGACAATGATTCAACGTTTGCAAGATTACTGCGTAGATCACAGTCATATTTTAGTTTTTCTTGTACATTAATTATTACTTTTTCAAGCTTATAAACATAAACAGTCAACTCTCTGGTGCAGGGTGTGGTCAATGTATTAATTAAACCTTATAAGGAATACCTTCAGATAAATATATAACACAGATAAGATTTTTGGTCCACAGAAGCCCATGCTTGTGATCAGGGACGACTTAATGCGTGTTATTATATCCTATTTGAGTGAACGTGTGCTCAATTGATTGCCTGCTCCAGAAACGACATGTACAGAGCGCCGTCATACAACACTCGATTCATGTCCAAATCGAGGTCTTCAAGTTCAAATGAAAAGCCTTAAAGTAGATCCTACAATTGAAATGCAAAGGCTTTCACAGATTTATTGTGGTACAGCAAAATAGTTACAATACAAAGGCAAAAGTGGCACAAAGATTAGGAAACGGGCGTCAGCCAAATTCAACACAGTACGAAGACCCCGCCATTTAAGTATCCCAGTTAATTCCCAGGGAACGGGTACGAGGTAGTAAACTACGGTTTGACAGAGGAATAGTGCGTTCGGTTGATTAATCAGAAATCTTTCCATTCAGTCACAGTGATCAATAGCTATACTCAATGTGGTTATCTGCAACTATGTCCTCACAACTCATTATCAGTAGCCGGACCGGGTTTGACTATTCACATTCGTTGAATACAACAGCGTGGTCTCATTTATTATAGAGTAATTTGAATCTTAATGGACTCTTTACCAGGTAACCTTCACAATGTAAATTCACAACATTAGATTATACCAATACATTAGTATAATTAGGTGATAAACATACTGTGTTTTCAATGTAGAGGTAGGTTACCAGTAGATTTAACCGCGCTAAATTGAACTTGGAACCGAACGCAATGTTTATCCCAATTCTACCATGACTAATTGAAACGCGGACTCTTTGGTGTTAGCAAATATACTGAGTGAAGCGGCATGGGTTGAGTCCAGTGTTGTGAGTGGGTTATCGATCTGAATTACGGAATCACCGAACAAAATATGGCGCTGTATATACTCAAGTAGTTTGTTTACATAGTAAAACTTCACTCGAACATGTGACAAGCACTGAAAGCAAATAAGCACGGCAACTTGGTAAGCTAACATGAGCTGGGAATCCCTAAAACCAGCTGGTTCAATCAGAAGGGGTTTATTGTGATTTAATAGCCTCTGATTGACCAATCAGAATCGAGTCAATTCCGAATTCATGGTAGAATTATGAATAACAGAATAGGGTTTGAACATTCACACACGTTGGATACAACATTTATTATAAAGTAAGTTGAATCTTAATGGACTGTATACCAGATAACATTATGCTATTTCACAACAACGAAGCCGAGCATCAAAAGCAGATTGCCACCAATATGTTAGTACAATGTATATCAATAATATCATTAACACTAACAGAAGGAAAAGAGGAATGTGATGATTAGGTTAGAATATTTTCCAAATGAACAACCTCTGCTTTCCGTGCAACCCTCGATAGTTCACCCTTCTCTATGTGGATGCCATGGCCCTTAGACACATTTTAGAGCGGCTTTATGTTTATGCAATCAGAATTCCCCGATTATATTCGTTTTCAAGACGCAGAAAACATATATTCTGGTGTACACACTTATGAGCATACATACACACACACACACACATACATACATACACACACACACACACACACACACACACACACACACACACACACACACACACACACACACACACACACACACACACACACACACACACACACACATACATACATACATACATACATACACACACATAAATACATCCATCCATCCATCCATCAATCCATCCATCCATGCATGCATGCATACATGCATACATACATACATACATACATACATACATACATACATACATACATACATACATACATAGTATTGTAGTCTAAAAGAACATTTTCTTAAGATCCATCCATTCACTAACTAGAACATGCTGGAATTGTTAATTGAATAGCAAATACGAGCAAACATACGAGCATACATACCTACATACATATTTACTTACACACGTATGTATGTACGTACGCACGCATCACGCACGCACGCACGCAAGCGCCATAGGCATTCGAAGTCGAGACGAGGAAACAGAAATCCATTGTCACAATTCAAAATAGGCTATGTGAGAATGTCGCATGTGAATCGCAACCTGATATGAAATACGTTAATATGTGTACGCTCAATGTTATACAACGTATTATGTGTACACGTTATGTGTACGATTTGTGCACACACACCCAGACACAATCTTACTTTAAACACAGTGACACGTGTGACACATGAGCAAAGTATGTCGTGTTGGCATTTAGAGCGCGACATTATGCCCAGTATGGCCGTGTTATGAATAGTTTTGAAGCTAGTCAAATTGGTGGATCTTTAGAACTTGTTCACAAATGTTAACACCGTCCTAGTCACAGTTAAGTTAACACGGAAACGCAGACTTCAGGACGGACATCGATGCGAATTATATACATGTATGCATATGCAATGGGACAATACACTCTAACCATGATAAGAAAATGTAATCTTGAAGAGTTCACTTTGGTGGGGATGACTTACATTTCGTAGCATTTATAGAGTAAAGAGAGGATTTATCTAAAACGGCTCTGCTCAAACGTCGTTAAAGTACACATGGGCGATTTCCATAGACAATGTTATATCTCGCTACCCCTGGAATTTGTTAAATTGTTAAGACACGAGAGGTCCAAGCCATGAAATGGATCACCATCATTGACATGGAAACACTATGGCGACCTTTGCGGTTGATCAATTCCGCTTATAAGTTTATGCAGTTCACAATTTGCATTTATTCATTTGACTATGTGTCCAGTGTATGGTAAATTGGATAATGAACACCACCCGCTTGCAGTCCACCTGTTCGGATTTCAATGATCGTATTCATGCAGAGGCAAACGAAAAAAGGGAAACGGATACTCTGTCCAGGGGCGTTCTTCATTACATGTGATAAGAAGGTATGTCCTGAACATAAACTCTGTTATATGATAATTCTGGTATTAGTTTATTTGATGCATTACAATACTCGTTACGAGTATCAGCAATCCTGTCTAAAGAACGTCAGCACATTTGTATATTAGCAGGAAAGTTCTGACAGTTTATGCACATGTGTTGCTGATTGTAGTTACACGTACAGAACACTATCAGAACATGTAAATAATTGTGACTACTTGAAATGTAATTACGTTGTACCACAGCCAAACATTAGTGAATATGAACAGAAAGGCATTCACAGTCTTTTGTCCACTGCTACAAGCAGAGAGGCCAGGGAAGTTTATATCAACCGGGACAGATTCTAATAAATAAGAATAACAACATTTCAAGAACATGTAAATGTACAATGATCTAGCTAACATATGATGTGATCCACACTCGTAGATTCTAGTCGATGGTTCCTTACGTCATTGTCATTGCTTCTCACACGCAAAAAAGGCATAAGGTATCCACATGTGTCAGGTCTGTGTCCTATACATCAGATGATTTTGGTTTCCTACTGGTATTGTTGATGAAATCACAGCTGAAATCAAAAGTAACATTTTGCCAGGGTTTCCAGGAATCGGTTGATTTTGAATACACAATGCAATTTTGAAAATGGTCAAATGTAACAAAGGTTATATTTGGAATAACTTTCTTAGTAAAGTACAGATTCTCATACTTTTAGGGGATTGAGTGGAAGCCTCGGTGGCTGAGTGGGTTATATCGCTGACTTTGAGTCCTGGCGATTAGGTGCCTCACTCTGCCAGTGTGGGTTCGAATCCCGAACCGGACTCAACCCCAAAACAGTACGAGAGCTTTATCCCAAATATATAATTTGTTACAATCGGTTGATTTGTTTTTGAGTGAAATTTAACATAGGGATGGGTTATCAATTATATAAACGCGAATTCTTGAGAATAGCCAGTCTTAATTCTATTGGGTGTAAAAGGCTAACTAGGAGACAAAATAATAGGAATAATAGGTTCACTAAACATCAGTGGTGACAATAGATGTTCTCGCAAAAGGTGCCGGTGCCGGTGACATTCCGCCACTTACACATTTTGCTCAAAGAATATGTGTTTGTTACTAGAAATCAACACATACATGTCTGGTTACATACCTCCACAAACGCCGTTTAAGTTATACATTGAAAACTTGAATATATATCATTTTTACAGATACATGGGCATTTACCAAAAAAAGGAAGCCCAAAAACTTTTTTCTGATTTGAAAATTATCACTTGGTCGTTTTGAAACGAAAACATGCACGAGAGAAAAAAATTCCCTGTCGCTGTGTTCGCACATTTGCTGCATTGCCCGTGACAAGGAAACTCGAATCATTTTGTCGGTCTGTAAATAATCGAGTCTGGACCAGATAATCCAGTGACTGACATCATGAAAACTCGTATGCATGATAAGGATATTAGAAGTTTGATGATCAGCTCTGAGAAGAAACCCTTTTCTCGTTGGACGCCATAGTCGTTGTCTCACTTATTGCGGTTCCAGGTTTAACATATTTTCTCTGAATCACACTGTGAACTCGATCCTCCATATGTGCCAATGTTCTCTGTAAAAAAACAGGGCAGTTAATATTTAATGGCACATTCACAAACATATTGTTCATGAAATATATATCAGCTAACTATTAACACTACGTCGAGTTTAAGGTGGTATGCTCATTGCTTTGTGTGAGGTAATTGTTCAGTTATTTCACTGGTCGTTTGTAAATAGTACCAAACAACTCGGATGAAGTAAACACTAGCTCCGGTCTGATATGTTCAAAGTAGACAAAATAGAAGTAAAACAGGATAGATCATTCCATATTAAATTGAAACCAACTTTAAAAAATAATTACTTTTACTTTTAATTGCTTTCATCTAAAACCGGCAGTGGTGGTTTCATTTGATGGACAACAGAGCATACCATATTTGGGGCACGATCATATTCCCCCTTCATGAACATTTTCCGAATGAAATGTAGTGGGGAAAAAAACATATGAATATAAAATATACCTCATGACTGTGGATTACCAGCTGTAACCTGTGACCTGCGCGTTCGGCAATGAGTTGTTCGTTCAGTCCAGAATCGTATGGCCTAGGTGTTGCAGTTGCTCGCTGCGAATGGTTACTGGAGAGTTATTCGAAACCACAAGTGTTGCAAAGTCTCAAAGTCTTCAGACAAGTGACTAGTAACAGATTCCTCTGCTTCCTGAGATTCCTCCCAGGGTACTGATAATCACTATTCAACAAATCGTTTGTCTCCAAATCACAATCTGGCAAGTCGATCTCAGTGGAAATATCAGGATTAATTAAGTCTTCGAAATCGGTATTTATATGTTCTTGACAAGAGCTTGTAAAGCAATTTGCGTTATGAAAATTTAGTTGTTGAAGACGTATTCTGCTATTTTGATTATTCCAATAGCAGTTTTGCACGTGATCTTCCGCGTTCTTATTTGACGAGACCTTCAATAGATTTTCTCGAACATTAGCGCGTTCAAGCGCAGTTCACATGCATTCAGCATAAACAAGAACGACACGTGCATATTCGGTTGACATTATTTTACCCTATATTTTGAATGGGACTTTGTTTTATTAAGATGCATATATGGATATGGCCTGAGGTCCTCGAACTAGTTACAAGTGCTAAAATCCTAAAATTTCCTACACATTGGGGCCGCCTCAGTGGTCTACTGGACAGAACATCTGCCCAGGGACGGACAGGCGAGTGGTTCAATCCCCTGCCGCGTTATGCAAAATACGTAAAAATATGACACTTGTTGTTACCCAGCCTGGCTCTCGGCATCAAGAGGATAACACAAGAACTCCAGGGCTATGCTGTGCCTGTGCAAGGTACGTATGTGAAAGTATGGGGAAAGCAGGTTAACAATGTTTGTGATAACTGTTTCATGTAGCTTACGTCAGATTATCCTCATAATTTGCTGAATGGCCTCAAAGTAACCGGACCTATGTGACAATTGTAGTTTGGTATGATTTTAAAGACGTAAAACCCCATTTCACATCACCTAACTGTTTAATATTTAAATATGTGCTTAAGATGCTGACTGACAAAATATATCCACAAGAAAAATAATCACAAGGGATGACATCAACTTTCCAATAGATAACGTTTCCTTTATGGCAAGCAATATTACAGCAGCTCCAGGCTTTAAACCAAGCAATATTACAGCAGCTCCAGGCTTTAAACAAGTTTTATGGAAGACATGTGGAGGTCCTTTATATACTTGCGATAATCAGTGCACAATTGCTATGAAAAATATTTTGAAAAATATGTTTGTAGTTTATCAACTACCTGCATAAAATAAATTGTGAAATATAGTACGGTTGATATAATGGGGAAAGCTGGTTAACAATGTTTGTGATAACTGTTTTATTTAGCTTACGTCAGATTATCCTCATAGTTTGTTGATTGACCTCAAAGTAACCGGACGTATGGTAACCCCAGCGACCAGGATGTAAACATCGTCACTGAAACTGTAACAGGTGCGTCACTTGAATCACAGCATACGGTCTCTACTGAACTGCAGTAAGTAAGAAATATATGGCGAAAATCAAAACAAACAAAGTATAAATTGAATTTTAGCAGTTGTAGATCAGACCACATTGTTTATTCACGTTGATGTCGAACTTGTCTATTTAACTAATATATCAAGCATGTAATAGCCAGTACATGGATGATAACAAGCGTTTTGTAGCCTACACTATAGGTTGACTGATCATTTGCTATTCAATTTACAATTCTAGCATGTTCTAGCTAGTGAATTGATGGATCCTAAGAAATTGTTTTTTAGACTACAATATTATGTTTCTATGTATACAGTATGTTGTTTAACCCCGTACTCAGCAATATCCCAGTTCTATGACGGCGGTCTGTAAATAATCCTGTCTGGACCAGGCAATCCAGTGATTGACATCATGAGCATCGATCCACCCAATTGGGTTACGATGACATTCACAAACAAAGTCAGCGAGCCTGACCACCCGATCCCGTTAGTCACCTCTTACGACAAGCATAGACGCCTTTTATGGCACGCATTGGTTGCTGAAGACCTATTCTACTCCGGATTTACTTTATTTACAGACCACGGTTATGTAGTGGGAATATGAAGAGTTAAACAGCAAACAAACAAATTTTCGTGACTGTTACAATGCAACCATTTAAGCACGTTTATTTTATATTTCGTTTATGTAAAATACCTACTTTAATATGTTTTAATATGTTTTCAAAGTGCACCGAAATTCGAATGCTTTTGACTATACAGGCATCAAACATTTGACGTATCCCTATGAATCAAAAGCCCCATAAGGCATACCTCTATATATCCTGTGGTATCTATAAATATCATTTAACACCTATAAAATATCATTTAACATTAAGTCTTCCTTGCGTCACAAAATCTGACGTGTGTTCATGAACGTGGGTCAATGACCTTGTCTCCGCACCGGAACAATAGCCATTTGGCGTTCTGTCAGGTGATTACCATTAATCGTACCATTTCGACCTATCTACTATCAACATGGCTGTTATCATCTAAACTTCATCCCGAATATTTGTCTCACGCCGTCCCATTGAACTACCATACGAGGGGGGAAATTAGGCTCTTGGACAAGAAGTGAATCGGTCGTTATCATGACGTAACAAATGATTATGAAAATGTTGACACATGACAAAAATGTATCAGTGTTCCCGTCCACCAAACACGCGCAAAAATACATCCGTACAAAAGTCAGCACTTATATAGTGGTAAGTGCCCTGGCACCAACGGAATAAGATACCCGTGAAGTTCCGCGGTAGAATAGGTCTTCAGCAACCTATGCTTGACGTAAAAGGCGATAATGCTTATGCGAGTGGTCAGGCTCTGTGACTGGGTTGATGCATGTCATCATGTCCCAACTGCGTGTATCGATGCTCATGATGTCAATCACTGGATTGTCTGGTCTAGACTCGAGTTTATATGACCGTCATATAGCTGGACTATTGCTGAGTGGGGCGTTAAACAACACACTAACAAACTAAGAAACAAATATAACATCCTATCATTTGATAAACTACAAATAGCATATGACGTTATATTTAAAGGTTTCCATGATGACAAACATGACCCAATACGGAGTTAATATTCTGATTCTTCTGGTCGAATCACTCTTATTAGGTAAGTCTTTTGATATTTGTTTGTACTTTGCCTCAGCCTTGCTTCTAAATATGTATTGCAAAGAGTTTTAAACCAGTATGTTGACAACATGAGTCGTGTCAGTAAAATTTATACCTGGGGAAAAAAAGGTAAAAATACGTATTACTTGAGCAAAATGTGGATTACGATTTGCCAACAACTGCTGGATGGAGAAAAATCATGTTTCAAAAGCAGAGATCATATCTTCTACGACGGTGCTTGTTTTTCCTGATTGTTAAAGCTATCACTCATCAAGACGATAGTGAGACAAAGAATGAAACCCAATTCTGGGTCCTTCCCCTTCTGTGATATGTGTCGTAGTCACGTTTGTTCTCTCTGCAACCAAGTGATCTAGTAGATTGTTTTATTATGATTATTTCCTCTGATGATCATTAACTTATCATACTTAAATTTCCAGTTTCCCCCGGTCTCATCTGTCCAGAAATCAGTTACCTTGGCGGTCCTGCCCAGCTGATCTGCACTGGCGGGACACTTGTACACACATATTACAACACGGGTGGTAAGGTGGCTACGTGTGGATTGACCCTTAATTCATCGTGTGATTCCACTGACATGTCGGCGTATAGACTCAGCTCAAATCAGACGGCACTAAACATAACAAGTGTACAGATATCAGATGCGGGAACATGGGTCTGCAAGAATGCACGCAATTCAAACACGTCATGTCATCTGACTATTGCAAGTAGGTAGTCTCAAAGTCAATATCATGTTAATGGTTGTGCATAAAATCACACGCGAAGCATGTTTCACAACACATATGTAATAGGAACAAGGGTTTCATAACATACCTACAACATCTCAACAAAGTATTACGCCTAGCTTACATAGAACTGAAACGTTGATGTGAGGTTCAATCTTTCTTACGACATTCCCCGTGAATTTCTTTTCTCGAGGTCGGTTATTTGTAGAAGGTCACATCCCGATATGTCAACCAACCCCTCCATAGCAGCAACGTACTCGTATTCCTGTTTCTCATTAAATACTAGTATATGTCCATTCAAGAGTTTTTTTTCAAAAGTAAAAACAGATTGCAGTGACTAGGGGTTGTAGTACTGGTATCTGAAACATAATGTTGTATGTATTATCAGACAGGGGCAGAAACGTATTTTAGTTATGTGCTTATATATTGGTAATACGTCATGCCTACACTCTGTGTTACAGATATCCCCACCTACAGCATAACCAGTGACAACGCTACAGACGCCGTGGATGTGTATGATTGGGTATCCCTCACAGTGGACATCTGGGACTTCTACTGTTCTGCAGCTCACAACTTGACTCTGCAGGTCGGGAGTGTCACACAGCCACTGAACATGTACCTACCCGAGGCTGTGACCGAACCAACAAACTTCACCATCTCCATTAATATCACAGAGTCACACTTTGGGGATGTAGAACTGATCTTTCTTTGTAACGGCCAGCAGTTGAATGTTAGTCATCGAAGCGTTACACAGCTACAACAAAATATCTCGACCAAAGTGTCAGGTAGGTTTATGTCAGTGCATTGCGTCTGTCCACCCGCACATATATATGACATACATAATGTCCTGCGACATTTTGGCCTAAAACTTTAGAACATATTAGTTTCATCACCGACTCCTGTCACCCCTATTCCCATAACATGAAATGATCAGTCCCCTTGAAAACCTAGTCATCACATATAGTGTTTTGTTGCCACTTGAAATCAATATATTCCCACGCATGCATTTCTCAAAAGGACGTTATCGTTCTCCCCACAGAAAAGTGGTGTGGTAGTACTTGTGTACACATACTCTATAATACAATCATCGTGTCTAAATGTACTCCTTTCGTCTAACAGTTCCAAAGACCCCGACATGCAACATCACCAGTGACAAGGACACAGAGACGCTGACCCTGTATGAGGAAGTGACACTAACAGTGGACATTGCTGCCTACTACGACATACGAGGTTCCTTCTGTTCTGTAGATTCCAACTTCACACTACAGACCGGGGATGTCACACAATTACTGAATGTTGCTGGAACCGGGGCTGATCATGATTTTTCACCGATAACCTTCGATGTGACTGAAACACACTTGGGTGGTGTGAGGCTGATATTCTACTGTCAACACAAACACTGGAATTTCACTTGCGATGGTGTAACCGAACTCAATTACAGTGAGTGTTTAATAATTATCGAGTGGATACTACCAACATCACATGCACATATGTGTAGTGTAAATGGCTATCCTCCCTACAAAGAAATATTGATTAAAGGTCGGAATACCCATGGACTGCCAACGAATATGCCAAATGGTTTGTCTGAAGTGGTATACATCTTCCAATGTTCTTACTTGAAATACTGGATAATATATGCATTCATATTTAGTGGTATTTATTTGTTTGTTGGTCGGTTGTCCAGAAGACAGTATCCCAGTGTCTCCACAGAACACACAGTGTGTGTTAGTAAGTTATGTGTAGGAGATGTGATTATCTTTGTTTGTTTGCTGTTTAACGTCACACTCAGCAGCATTCCAGGTGGGATTTATTTTCTCCATGTGAACATTATGTAACAGTCATTATGAGCCGATATTATGCCAATACATGTTGGCTTTGTTTCTGTTCTTAACAAATGAAACTTGTGTTCTGTTTTTTAAGGAACTTTGACTTAAACGCCTTTATAACGTTGCAGAAACCAAAACAGCTGCTGTCCCAGGAAACGCTGGACTATACACAGCCTTCACTCCAATTATTGCTGCCAGCGTTGTTGGTGCGATAGTGTGTTTCATCAACGCCGTCATCGTCATCGTCTTTCTCGTCAAAAGAAAACAGGTAAATCAAATAAAACCACAGGCATCTCTTCAGCCTTCTTCCCCTCAGTACCTAACTGCAGGGGCACCCGGAAGTTCAGCTTATGCTACCGTGGAGCTGAATGATGCTCCAAGTGGATCAAATAACATAACTGTAATAGATGCAGAAGGTTATGCATGCGCAGGGGATTTCAAAGCTGAAAACAGATCAAGTTCGCTGACGAAGGTTGCTACAACCTCCACGGACAATCCTAAGAATGACCTCGGTGTAATTGTACAGCACATTATTCCCGAAGATACAAGTCATGTCAATGAACTCTATGCTTGTATTAACAAAACGAAAGACATGACAGTGCATAATGATGACACAGCAATCTGATAAGTTGTTATATATTTGGCAAATATTTGAATAACCTTGTCATATTTGTTTTCGTTTCAAGTTTCATTTGTACTTAAACCGATTTTCCATTAACATGTTCGAAATCACCAAAAGAGATCATTCAGTTTCTGGCTTACGAATCACAGTCATGGAACAATTTGCGTCCATGAGAATGCAGAGTTACTAGACTGGGGGGATAAGCATTATCGAAGATTCGAATGTATCACCTTCTCAGGTATAAGTTGCAAAGAAATGTGTTGTGATTTCTTTAAGAAATCCAAGGAAGCATCAATCGATGCGTAAGTCTATGAACGTATCCTAAAAATAATTATGGCTTACTGATTAAGATATGCCTTCAATAAGTTGCAATCATGACCTGGGTATGCCATTAATGACATTTCTGATCTTTGTAATACAAGATAGCCTGTGTCATTAATAGGTAGTTACTCTGTGCACACTATACCATTATCCGTTAATAATATTTTTGTTTGGATGTTTATATTAATATCTATATCTGAGATGACACAGCCACAATCACTGTCTGCTGGTAGCCCGCAAGCAATGGCTGGTTTACCTGATTAAGAGCGGGAGTGTGGTTAAAGCGACTGATTTGTCTTGTGAAGTTCATGGCTAAAAATTGGCGTAAATGGAAATTCACTGATTAATTCACTCAACCATGTCACTACATCTATATTTCAACGTACCAGTAAGCAGGTTGATAGACATACAAACAGTTCTCAAACTCTTACCCCAGCATGTTATCTTAGACGGAGATTGATAAGTTATATTTTATATTTTATTATGTTTAGTACATTTGTTCAGCAACTACCCAAAAGCGGTAACCATCACACTCATTAAAATACTTCAGTCCTGAATGTTACTTAGAACGGTTATTGCCCAATGTACAATTAGCAATACCGATCCCGATATGAAAGAAGAAAAAAGAATAACGTTTTCATAACATCAATAATTTACCATCATGAGTTGTAGGAAGGAGATGTGTTAGATATAGGATTGTTTTTCTATAAAATGGGGAGCTGAACACTTAAATGTCTCTTCAAAACACATTTCATTCATTTTATCAAACATGTCCAGCAAGCAATGAATCATTGTATGTCAATATTGAGCACTATTATTGGACATCCCTGATAGCATGACAATAACATACTGTTATCAGAGGATCTACATGTTTCTCTTGATAAAATAACACATCATATCCTCATCATATATTTTGGCTTATATGACTGTGCCACATTAATGCATTATATCGCTCATGTTGTGTACAGATGTACGTGTATGGACTTTGATATCCTGTGTTGTCAAGGTATATAATACAGGCTAGAGATACATTTGTCATACATCCGTGTGAGAATTACGAGATCGGGATCCTGATAAAATACTGTGCATCCCGATTTGGAGGGACATATATTTCTCAGCGGGATAATAAATGAGCGGGGTGAAATGAGGTTTAACATCGCCTTCGCCTTTGTGGTGCTAGCTGGCTTCGATACCCAGCCGCAGTTTGACATGAAAACCCAAACCAGATGCAATATACTGACCCCGATCCGATCCCGGGCTTCTTTTAGGCCGCGTTCCAGGTAGCATAACAACAAGTACTATATTTGGCGTATTTTGGTAAGGCATGAAGGGACTGAATCAAGGATTGGCTGACTCGGAGTCAGTATGCTGTGTCTTTGTTGGGTATTCATGTAAACTGCGGCATGGCATGTCAGTGTGCTATTATTATAAATCGGCATCAGTCGGGACTAGCACAAGCAGCACACACACATACACACCACACACACACATGTACATGTACGTTACTATTTAAATGCAATACTTTTGGACACAACGTTAAATCCCATTTCACCTCACCTCACTTTTGGGTATGTCGTGACCGGTGATCCACGAACTTCCGCCCTCAAGGCTGACACTCCATCCACTACACCACCGAGGCGGTCGTGTTGTGTAAGGAGGAACCAAACAATTATTATTCGTTTTTTTCATGTTTGTTCATTCTATTTTCTGGAACAATTTATGTGTAGCAAAATCGCCCCTAAAGAGACATTATTATTTCCACATATTGGCTCTCCTTGTGTAGTTTTGTGTAGAATAGCCTCGTGGCAATCTACAGCTTGTCTATAGAGTCGACTAAATAGGTCGGTGGTCAGCTTCTTCCTATTAAGTACCTCGATTATGATGGACGATGTCCTTTTATTTCTGTATTGGGTTGACTTGGCCAATACTTGATAATTTTACCCCCGTAGTTTTGCTGTAATATTACCGAATATGGCGTAAAATAGGAAATAGTCACAATATATTGCTTCACTAAGCACTTACTACTGTAAACAATTTAATTCCAGAAAGACACGAAAGAATCAGAAAACTGTGTCTGGATGTCAAACAGACGCTACTTACCTAAGTATCACTGTTTCCGTATAACTGCCTCGCCTGTGCTGCAAATAGCTGTTTTCTCTTTGCAGATTTCTAAGAGAGATAGGACATGAAATTGCATATAGAGGCAGTTTGGTAAATTTTCTTGTGTGTGTTTGCATTCTATAGGTTTAGGAAGTGTGTAATTATATACATAACTGATCATTTGTTTGGGGTGCACCCCTTCTCCGCAATAGCACTTTTTCAGCCTCTGTATACAAACTGACGTTCAAAAGAAACTATACCAAGAAACATCATCTTATATTCCTTTATAATTCGGAGAATGGAAATTACATGCTGCTTAGTGTAAATTACCAACAAATAAAACCGGAATTGTTCTATATGATGTATCCAGATGTAGCACGGGATGCACGTGCTAACTGGTATACAAAAATACATTGTATGCAGTAACCAAAAACGAAAAGAAAACAGTGCCTCATGTGCCTGTGTGCCTTGGTATGGCCAAGATTCAGACTACGAATGACAAGATTGCAAGGACTTTCGGTTGTACCAGTGCTTCAATGCAGGTTGATGAAACGTTCCCCGCACTGTTTACAAATGGAGATCAAGAGAGCAGACACGCATATGAGTGGAAGAGCACATGTTAACAAGCCAACTCAACGCCGTCACTTGCGTGTTGTACATCTCGGAAACAGTTTCATTCTCCGACGACATCTGCATCGACGAGTATCGGACATTGTTTCAGTCGACAGTGTCTTCCCCAACACTGACGTTGGCAGTTTTGGGACTGTGGGCGATGCTTACTTTCTGATGAGGGCAGATTTGCATTGATCTTAGTGACAGGCACATCTTAAGGTCCGTCTAGCGTCCAGACGTGGAGCGATTTCTTCTTTGTGAATTGCAACGGAGACCCGCGACGTCTCATTGTGCCGTGCATTGATGCACGATGTGGACATAAGCGCTGATATATATTTTATTAAAATCCAAAGTATACTGCCTTTGCAGCGACATAATATACTGTCGGTGGACATTGGGTCACTGTGACTTGAAGTGGTTCGGCGTATTTGTTTTGTTTTTTTCACAACATGAAAAACATCACTGTTATCAATATGTTGATATTTTTTTAACATGCAGCATGTTTTGGATTTTTGTCAATGGTTAATCAAGTTAATGGTATAGATTATTGTGGACGTCAGTGTTTACAGAGTCTGTAATCTAATGCTTTCTCTGTTCGTGATGATTAATGTTTCCCTGCCTTTGACTTACCTGATCTCTGAAATGCGCATTCTACTTGTTTTGGTTATCGACTGCAGGTTCTTTGCTGTTTTAAATATTTAAATTGGAATCAGATCTAAATTCGTTTGTTGTAAGGGTAACTGGTAAAAAAGGAATATCAGTGTAGGTAAAACACACTTGGAATTTTATGGGGTATAATATTTATAATCTTCAACATCAGTTGTTGGTCGAAAGTGTAAATGATGTCGGGTTTACAGAATCGATATGTGCACTTTTAAATTCCATTTATGGAGGTTGGTCGAAAACTGCCTGATAGAATGTAAGTTCTTTCAGCTATGGATCTGCATTTTCCTCCAGGTACGATAACATATCATATCCGGCCCATAGCTTCCGGCTAACTTGGCTTTGCCATATAAATATTTTATTTCTTCTGTTGTGTATAGACGTACATGCGTGTAAATGTTTAAATAGTGGAATTAGTTTTGCAAACTGAAACCCCTTTGGAATTCAGCTTTAAAGTTAGTTCCAAGTAACCTATATTGGAGGAAGGAGGCTACTTTATTAATCGTGTGGTCAGGCTCGTTGACTGAGTTGATTATTAACCTGGAAGGTGTTAATTGTCCAGTCTTATGTCAGTCAATGAATTAACCGTTCCAGACTCTGTTATAAGTTGTGTTTGTTTGTTGTTTAACGTCACACTCAGTAATATTCCAGCTATATGACGGTAGTCGGTAAATAAGCGAGCCTGGACCAGACAATCATGTGATTAATACCATGAGCATCGATCTATGCAATTGTGGATACGATGACATGCATCAACCAAGTCATGCAGCCTTTGACCACCCGATCTCGTTAGTCGCCTCTTACGACCAGCATGGGTGCTGAAGATCTATTTTAACCCTAATCGTCACGGGTCCGGTGACAAGTAGGGCGGCTGTCCCCTTGCCGGAATGTTGCTGAGTGGGGCGTTAAACTAATCATATAAAAACAAATATGAGATAATAAATGAAACA